ATGTGTAGAATTTAAAGAATTGTGCTCTGTATCTCAAGACTGATTATATAATATCCTGATGAATTTCGAAAGGAATTTCAAAAAAATGATGCCCTATTTCTATTTAATTTTTTTGATAAATTAATAGAAAATATGAAGTAATTATTGTAAATACTTCAGTAATTCATTACTCGACATCAAGAACATACTGGAATTACTGGATTTAAGTGGTAACTGCCTCAGCAATGTACCGGCACAGAATCTAAGGAACTGTATCCGGCTTATGTATTTGGATTTATCCCATAACGTTATCAAGGAAATTGCTAATTTTGAACTTATGAATTTACCATTACTTAAGGTAAAATATCCGAAAAATAGAATCTACCAAAACATAAAAATATTTACTTTACTGACTTATTAGCAGTTAATGGAATTCTTTTGTCAAAGACAGGATCTTTCTATCTATTCAATACACTAAATATAAACTAATCTGTTACTGATTTATGCACAATTATGGCACAAAAATATTTCAAAATTTTTACAGAGAATTTGAGGATTGGTGCAGACTGACTCTTATAAAGTGTATTTCTTTTATAAATCACTGGCAAGCATTTAAAAATGAATAATACCAAAGGGGAACTGAGAGGACTAAATAGGAATGAGGTCAACAAATATTTACCCGATCATAAAATACCAGCTGATCATCCTAGTTTGTTCAACTGAAATGAAAAATGAATGGCTTTTAAAATTTTCTTTTGAAATTTTTTTGAAAAAAATAATTTCATGTAAATAATTACCTTATTTAAATAAAAAGACAAAAAAATGTGTCCACAGAAAAGTTCACTATATTTATTACTAAGTCTTATCTCGCCGCTTATACAATTCAAAGCTTTTCAGGAACTAAGAATAAATAACAACCAAATAAATTACATAGCACCGATGGCATTTATGAATGTACCACTTCTGGAACATCTCTACCTAAAGAATAATTTAATTTCTTCTATTGAAACGGGACGTCTTTTCCAAGTCTTCAAAAACCTTGAAGTTCTGGATCTATCTGAAAATATGCTTACTAAGGTTAAGTTCTATCAAAAGTAGATATAGCACGTGCCTGGAAAATTGATTTTAATAAAGGCTTAAATGTTTCAAACTTGATACGTGATTTTATGCAATACCACTATGCTCATTAAAATAGTACGAAGACATTTCAGGTACCATCGTTCAAAGAATTATTTAATCTACGTCAAATTCATCTCAATCACAATAAAATCTCAAAAATTGAGACACTTGCATTCAGTTCCAACAAAAAGCTTCAACTCATCAGCTTACAGGTTCAACTCATCAGTTTACATTAATTAACTTCAAACAATAGCTTTTTAAAATTTAGTGGATCATCTTCATCATGATGTAATGATATCACGCTGCAAGCTAATTAAAATAATTTTTATAGAACAATCAAATTACAGCGATGTCACGGAACAGTTTCGATTCATTGGATGAGCTTGTCATTCTCAACTTAGCTAATAATGCCATCAAGAAGATTGGTAAGTAGTAGCAACCACTGAAGGCATAGCACTGTTTTATATTATCGATGCTCTAAGAATAAATCTTTAACTTGTTTTTCAGAACGCGTAATGCTTGATGGAATGCGAAATTTGCAACAACTTAATTTACGAAATAATTCCCTCAGTGTGTTGGAAAACTTGACGTTTACATCAGTTTCACAAATAACAACTCTTGATCTGGCACATAATGATATTCATACAATTGAGAAAAATGTATTCACGCCATTTAAGGACATATTCTGGCTCGATTTATCTTCTAACCTCATCAAAACAATAGAAAAGGATACATTCAAAAAAAAGATAGCTAACATTTTGCTAAATGGTATGTTCAATATAGGACAAAAATCTAGCTTTTCAAACTCAAATCGGATTTTTTAATTCCATTAAAACTGGAAATTTTTTCAAAGCAGAAAGCATTTCAGAAGCTTTTAATCTTTTAATAAACGGATGTAATTTCAAGATAATCCACTTTACTGCGATGAAAAATTGGATTGGCTGGTGAGTTATTTGGTGGAAAATCAAGTGCGAACCTTCTTACCTTATCAGACTGAGGTATTGTGCGCTGGACCGGAAAAATATACCGGTGTTCGACTAAAAGAACTGATGATTGTGAAAGCCAATGAAACAATGAGCAAAGCGAGACTTACTTTTTACGAGAACGGTCGAAGTGATATCGGTAAGCACAGTTCAAAAGAAATATTTATCAATCAGTGCTAAGTATATTAATAAACTCTTTCTGATAACGAAGTTTGGTAACAACTACTTTCTGAAATTCATGACTGCTCCCTAATTTAGCATTTGCGCAGCCAGCCAGTCTACTTGAGACGATACCAGTCATTGGTGCTTTCACCGATACTATTCCTTCAATTGAAAATATCCCTGGTATCAATTACTTGCCTAAAACAAAAGGTGACGCCCAAAAATTTAACAGTGCTATTGAACAGGTAAATTGTTTTATATAGAATTATAAGAGTCCTAATAGTACATTTAGATTTGTTTCCGTCAGAGTTGTTGCACACTGCAATAAAAACTTATTTCTAGCTTTCTTCACCACTGCTTCGTGCTGCAAATGGGAAACAATCGGGATCAGTAGATATTGAACAATATGTCCAGACTATTCCGAATTTAGTTGTTAACGTACCAGGCGTAGGTGACGTCGACATAAGCAGGGTAAATTTTTTTTCAAAAGCAATTAACGGATGCGTAAAAACACAATTTCCATTTTTAAACTTGTATTTTACTACAGCACCCTGCACACTTATTAAGCAATACTCAAGATCTTATTCGCGACAGATAAGGATAACGGAGAAACTTATCATACACATCAAACAATAATAGATGATGATGAAATTTGAAAAAAATATTGCAAGACTAAGGAATGTCAAATTTTCAGCTTCCACCAGGTACAGTAGCACATGTGTTGCGAGGTGGACAAATTCCGGGCTTAGCTCCGGAAACTTTGGACAAAATTATGAAGGAATACCTCAGACAGGCGTATACAGCAGCAGAGACTGCCAAACGGGGAAAACTTGTACCATCACCGGAAACGCTACCGCAGACGCTTACAACCCAAGTAATACAAGAAACTGACATGTCACAACAAATACAAAACATACGGGTAAGCTTATAAAAGCGGATAAACATTGTTAACAATATTCTCTTCCTCACTGTTTTTTTTTCGGATTGTCATCAATACAACTTATATTACCGACAAATTTAAAGCTTATTATCAATAACTCAAAAGTAAACCGATTTTTGTGTATCTTTCAAACAAATTTAAGAAACTTGTTTTAAGAAAATGGTTGAAAAATTTAAGAAAAAAATGGTTGACCTTGTAATTTTTTCCCAAAAATTTCAGGATTACTATATATCACAGTTGGCAATGAGTAGTGCTTCGAACCAGTTGAAAAATTTGTCCGTCGAAAAATCAAAAGGTTTATCATCAACGCTAATCGAAGTGATGAGAATGTTGCCACCCGGTTATAATATTAGCAAAATACCGAAACCGGTGATTGATGCTCTATTCCGCGGCGAGGTACCTGATTTCACGCTCCTTCCCAGTGAACTTCAACAGCGTCTTCTCAGAGATGGACATAGACTGATTGCTGCGTTGTCCACCGATGTAAGTTTTCATATTAACTATTTAAGCTATTTGAATTTTAAGTGGAATCAGTTTGAATTTCACTTCAGTGACATAAACTATTTAGTAAACTTGGTAAATCCTATCAATGTCAGTCCAACTTATTAATCTATAATTCCTGAATCCACTTATGCTGCCAGTTCACTGCTTTTATTTTCAAGGCTAATAAAACAGTGGAAGAAATACTACACAATTTGCCGACATTTAGACGTCCAATAAAGCCTACTTTTATCCCATACGATATTAATGAAATGACAAATGACCTTACCCAAACTAAACAACGAGCTGAAAAATTGGTTCGGGTCCAGTATTACACTGCTTTATTACTTGGTTAGTTCAGATTATTTGAAAATTGATCTATGTAAACGAGCAATCTAAAATTTTTAGTTGTATGGAAGTAAAAGTAATTGATAGCATGAAAATTAAAGATGAATCAAGGTTATATAAATGATTGAAGCTCAAAAAAAAGTGAATAAGCAGGAAAATTATTATCTACCTAGAAAAAGTAAAACTCAAAAAAAATTTTTTGAATCAACTCCAGGTTTTGTTGGAGCAGCTTCTATAGCAGTTTTGGGTTTAATATGTATATATATGAAACGAAAACGCCTGATAGATACGGAACCAAACATCGATGAAGATTCACTAGTGAATCCGAGTCAAATGTCACAACCACAACAACTAACCACAAGTGGATTAAAGATGGATACTCCTCCTCTTACAAAGCATCGTCAGTATCTTTCAGGGAGCTCTCACATGTTTAAAATTTAACATTAATTTTGCATTTAGGAATGATCTGTGTGATAGGCCAGTGAAAAAAAAGCGCAGTATTATAGCAATTTATTAGGATTGTAATAGAAAAAAGCGAAACGTGTATATTTTTTGTTATGTGTTCAACTTTGTATCAAAACATGTAAATTTTGCTGTAAACGTTAACTTAGTGCTCTTTTAAACTATATTCTAGTCTATGCACTTGCCTTTGTGTAAACTTTGTTTCGCTGTACACTATTCATTGTTCTGTTTGCAACTATACATTAAGTTATTTTCATATTTTCCCTTGACTTTGAATTGTTTCAAAACTTTGAATATCCATTAGAAGTACGTATTATTCGTCAAGCAAATCTCAGGTTTATCCAACCTTCGAAAGCAAACCATAATTGGTTTTGAAGGATGCATAAACCAATTCTTTTTTGTCCCAGTATTCACGATTTTCATTGAGAACAAAAGATTGATTTCAAATTTACTTTTGTAAAGCTTTTACTACTATGTTGAACTGCTTACTACTTTTTTTCTCCCATCTTTCAAAATTATTAATTCCAAATGAGTGGAAAATTGAAAACTGTCACAACGTGGCACTAAACACAGAAATCTTGATATGGATATAAACATCAATAAGTGTTTATCTTACTCGCCAGTTTGTATGACAGAGCAAAATGCTGAGATTTTTTAAAGCATTATTTACACAGATCCTATAAATACAGTGCTTTTCTAAAGTTAACATCAAAGAGAGGAAACACTCGTATGATTCAAAGGTTTTTTATGCTTAGTACTTCTACCACTGATCATATCAGACTGAGGTTTTAAAGTGATATTCAGTTTCATTTCCAATATGCAGCGGACAAAACTTAGAATTAAAAACACATGCTAATTGTGAACTGTAATTCCTTGTCCTTTCTTCTGAGCTAATGGTTGTTGAATCATTGCAGATGTAATCTGAACTGAAATATTTGTGAAATATGGAAAATGATCTAACAAGTTCAACAACTTCACGAATTAATTTTGAATGATCCCTAGTAAGTATGCCAAATTTAGTAGGTACTTGATATGTAAACCATGAAGTCCAAAAAATTAATTAGCATAATTAATTTTAAGAGTCATTCATCATAACATGCTGAAGTAGTCTGACTACTTCATCAAAAATGATGTAGTCTAGAACTTGCGACCTTGAAGAGAGAGTGCTCCATAAAAGCAATTCTTTATTTTCTGGCAGTTTTTGGAAACATAATACTGTCAATTAATTTTTTTTCTACAGAATCAATCAAGGAAAACGATGCGAACGACTGTCCCTATTAAAAAAAAAATTGACCTTGCAGATATGCGGCAAAATACCAACATTCCATGAGTTCAAGATCTCATCTCAAACAGTTACAGTGCCCTCTTATTCTAAATAATCGTGTTAATTTTTTTTTTTGTTTGATTTCTTTGTATCTTATTAAAAATAAGTCTTTGCAATTGGTAAAGAAACATGCATGCTCAAACTTCAAACTCTGCGCAATTTGATTTAAACAACTTGCTTGTTTTTGACCTTCAATTTTAATATAAACGAACTTTTTTCTTCAGTTAAAACTTCCCAAACTTAATAGTGTTTACAATCCTAATTCCAAAAGCGATGAGATTTTTACTGACATCAAAAGTAAACCATAATTTTTTGCAACCCGATTTTACTTGCAAGAAAACTAACATTATACAGGTTAAGGATCCCTGAAGCAGATTTACGGGTGATGCATTATTGCGAGAATTATACTTCGTAAGAGGGGCAAGTCATAATAATCAGTCAATGTGTGGTGGACCTACAGTGGACACAGAGATAAATCCTTGAGTGACCTTCTCTATAAGAATGACCTTCCCTATAAGAACCTTCACCGCCAATGCAACCACATTTCGCCTCAGTAAATCTTATCGATATTAGAAACTGAAATGCTGTAAATGAATGTTGCAAACTTTTTTTTTAGATGATTAATGTTTCGAGCACAGAGATCAATTTCAAAAGAGATAGTACTGAGAAATTGAACTGTTTGAAGACCTAAAAAGGGAATTTAGGAGTGGTTTTGGTTTGGTTACAGGGAAGAAGGAAGGTAACGGTGCGTTAGAGGAAGGAACGGATGAAAGGAAGGGGGAAAGTGTTGTAGAAAGACAGGCAGATAGCTAGTAAGGTGCATTCACCACCGACCTTGCTTGCGCATGCGTTTTGGCCGATCGAGATGGGGAAGGTCCTCCCGTTCCGTTTCCATCTAACCATTTAGTGTATTGAGCTGCTCTCCGGTGTCTACAGGTGCCGACTGGGCATGAGAATTTGACAACGACCCTCCCCCCTCAATCATCGACCATTATCTGTATCTCACAATTTTCGAGCCACTCAACCTGCATCCGCTCCGATCGTCATCATAGATATATCATACAAATAACCATTATTTATCCGGTTACTTCTGCTACTGCTACTGCAACTGCAACTGTGCATTTCTGCCATTACTACTAGCACATGTACCACTAGCGGTAAAACAGATGCCACCTTATACGGATGCTAATGTTACTTCTCGATATTCTGTTTCGGACAAACAACTTATCCTACAACCCACTAAATTCATCTCGATGCCAGAATCATCATGCAATAACGTTACAGTTTTGCATCCTCGCAGACAACGTATAGAAGCACTGATTCTTACGACGTGCGCCAATACCTTTTATGATGATAATTACAAAGAAGGAAGCGGCACCAGTGATCGGAATAGAAAAGATAAAGGTGAAAGAATCAACAGTAGTAAATATGCAGCAATCGGAAGATCCTACAATAGCGATGACGTTGATGTTGATGAAGAAAACAGTAATAAAGGTTACGATGACAGTGATAGTGATGAAAAAAATGTCAATTCCATGCACGAGCGGCGCAGAATCAGAATCTGTAATAACAGACGATCACGACAACGACGAAAATTGGCAGGACGTAGGAAAAAACAATGTTCGAAAAAACGAGACACAATCAATCAATTTATTGGAAGTTTCGTCCTATTTGTTAGCACTATGCGAATTTCCCTGGCTTGTCCTGAAATTATCACATCGATCTGTGGTTGTGAAGATTCACAGAACGGTATAATCCTCCAATGCTCACATACTGACGGATCCCAGATTGTCAACATGTTAAGAGCTAATCAAATCAATTTGGGCCTGATCCAACAACTAGAAATGAAACAATCTGGACTGAAGCATATTCCTGCTGGATTTTTTTCTGGATTATTTATCAAGAAACTGGATTTGTCATATAACAATATTACAGATATCGACGAAAATAGCTTCCTGGGAATGAACAATATTTTACAGGAACTTATATTGCATCACAACAATTTAACACGGTTACCATCCAAAGCACTAGCACCATTATCAGCACTCTTGCGGCTCGACTTGTCCAATAATTCAATTGGTGATATTGAAGCGGAGCATGCCTTCCCACCATTATCGAAGGTTCATCTTTGCTTATTACTTCTTTCACAAATCCCAAAAATGAAAGTACCATGCTTATATTTGAACTACACAATCCTAACGTAATCTAATAAGACAAGTGCATTTTGAATTATTTTTTTTCATTTTGTCTTAAATTATGAAAATTTAAAGCTGAAAGTAACACTTTTCCAATAATTACTCAACTAAGTAGTCAGTCAAGAGAAAAAAAAAACGATCTTTCCCATATATTTGATTGTAGAGTGGAACTTCCATTGTGCTATATTGTTTTTACGACTACGCAACTATTATTATCACAATTACTTGAGTTTTACTGGTTTTTAATCGTCACAATAATAATGTGATAATCAAGGTTCAAGATTATTCGATGAAAAAAGAGAGAAAGTTAGCGACCTGTCCTCAAAAAAAATCTTAGAAAAATTTCTCTAAGAAATTATTAATCTCGAGTTAAGTTTCCATATTTCTTTCTCCAATGCTGAAAAATTGTACAAAAATAGTCACAGCAAATGAGTAAAAATAACTTGCAGCTATATGATGTTAGCTTAGCGAATAATCGCATATGTCAGATACATAAAAATGCATTTGATGATGTTAAATACAATATACAAACGATTAATCTTGGCAGAAATTGTTTGAAGGAAGTGCCAGCACCAGGTAAACTTCTCTCACTTTACACTTTGCTGAACTGGATTGAATTTTGTGCCTAATTATACACCATAATCAAAGTTAACCTTTTTAAAACTGTTGGAGCTTTAAACTTTTTTGTTTACTTGTTTATTGAATATTTATTCGTTATTATATCAAAATTGCCAGAAATAGGGGTCACTGAATGGAATTTATTTATTTGATTTAATAATGAAAACTTAGCTAAATTTTTCATAAAAATTTGGACAATTCCCTCAAAGCAGTTCACGTTTCCTCATCATCTTGAAATGAATGATGATTTTGTTACTTGATTAAGAGATTTATAGCAATCCGTGGATTTAAACAGTTAATGGCATTGCATTTACACAATAACAACATCAACTCGCTGGGAGCGCTGTCATTTATGAACTTACCGTTAATTAATTTGCTGAATTTGGCATCAAATCAAATTTCAACTATTCATAAGCGAACATTCCTCAATGTACCTAATTTGCGATATCTGTACTTGACCCGAAATCGAATAACTGATGTTAGTAAACTAATTACTTCTTTTACTTTCTCGTCTTTCATCTTCACCCATTTTTTTGTTTTGAAATTGCTATAAAGCAATTACAAAACACTATTTTTTCGTCTTTCCTTTTCTTCCTCCCTCTCTCTAGCACTGTTTAGAAAATAGTTTCAACGAGTTTAGGTAATAATGAAAGAATATTCCCTAAACAGTAATTACCTTTTAATACTACCTAGTTCAGAATAACATCAAATGAAATAAGTCCACTGTTATATTTTAAAATAAAAACCTCTCCGACGAAGTTAGCAATGGCAATATTAATAAAGCATGTATGACTGATTTAAATCTGGTTTCAGATCTTACCATACCAGTTCAGTTCATTCGAACAACTCGAAATGCTTGATCTAACTGGAAACTACCTGACTGAACTACGGGAAAATTCATTTTCAAATTTGAAAAATTTACGGCAACTATACTTAGGTGAAAACCATATCACCAGCATAAAATCCGGTAGTTTTGCAAATAGTTCAGTGGTTATCTTAGTTTTGAATTCAAACCGCCTCGTGGAACTTCAAGAAGGGATGTTTGACGGAATGACTAAACTGCAACAATTGGCCCTCAAGGATAACCAGGTTTGTTTTCTGCCTTAAAGGAAAAATTATCAGTTATTCTTCACAAAAAAATTATAAGAGCTATTCTTATCAACAGTTGACCATTAGTTCCCTTTCAATCTTACACCATCGCAGTTTTAACCAAGGTACATCACTATGAAGTACAACTGTCTCAGATTTATTTTATTTTAAACAGTTGAGGAAAAAAATAGAGGAAGGCAAGACATTTTGACATATGTATATACAAGTTAAAATATTCTATATGTAGAACATTTTAAAGAAAAATGCTCGATTTCAATCATGTCGGAACCTTTTCCCCTTGGTCCATAACTTCAAATTTAAGAAAAAAATTGAATCCATTTCTAAATCACCAAATAAATATTAAATTCTTCAGATATTCTTGTGCTGAAAAATCATCTATCATTGAATACCACCTAGAACTTATGTCTTTTTTTCAATTTTCAGAATTTTCCTGTTTTGCTTAATTATTTATTATCCAAAAAAATTTTTACGTAATATAATCTCTAAAGAGAAAAAGAAATTTTAAAATTTGTGGAATGGATATCAGAAATCCCGAAGATTAAAAAACTTTCTAAACACTTGCTCTCAGCGTCAAGAAATATATCCTTCTGAATGAACTCATAATGAGACTAATAAATAACACATAATCTAGTAAATAAATATGTTTCAGATCCGATCCATCGATCAGAATAGTTTTTATTCCAACCCAGGTTTAGCAATGTTAGACTTGAGTAATAATGAACTGATTGATGTGCCACCTTCAACATTTCTGGCTCAAGTTAATCTATTCCTCATCGATTTAAGCAATAACAAACTGGTCCGTACACCCTACGGAGCATTCAGTCGACGCGTGAAAACAGTACTTCTACAAGGTTGGTACTTATAATTACTGAAGGTAGTAAACAAATGTAACATATTTTTCATTAAGTGAAAACTAGGCATTACCTGCAATAATGTATACAGGCTTTTGATCCAAAATAAAATCAGTCTAATAAAATTTAACTATAGAAAACCCTTTGGTCTGTTCGGAACGAGTGCACATGTTACAACAAGGTGTAGGAATTTACATAGCAAGCAGTGAAGACGTTATCTGTGGACCACATAAGAATCCTGGTGGAAATAACATTGATGCTACAAATATGCCGCCAACTTCTACCTATTTTATGGTGGATGATGGAGAAGAGAACAATATTAAACAGGGAGAGAAGTTCTTGCCACCTAAAACTCCACCTATCATTCGACCACTTTCCAGCATCGATGATCAAGTTCGTTTATTTTATTTCAGTGTTCTCAAAATTTCTGAAAATCCATTGAAACATTCAAAAGAAGCTTTGAGTATATAAATCAGAAAGATCAAATATCTATGGAATGATGTTCTTTAAACTTATTTTTGTAAAAATCAAGATATATCTCATGATTTTAGGCAAACAAACCAGAAGCTAATGTTGGCGAAGAAAAAATCGGTACAAATAAAGTAATTTCAATAAGACCTGTTAATGCACTCGTAAACAGAAAACCCAATCTACCCCGACAATCATCAGAGATGTCTAGCACCGATGCAATGGAAAGTCAAGCCGGCACAATTCCTGAATTTCAGAATTCCGTCACAAAAAGATATGAAGATAATGTGTCGGAGGGTATGGAAATGTTTAACAGAAATAGAAGTGAGAACCATCAACACTCGTTTGAAAACACTAACATAATACATCCATTCCCGATTCCATTCTTAAAACGCCCCTCAAAACTTTCAAAAGCATATGTAGCTGCACCCGGAACTACAACAGCCACAGACCCAACACCTGCAAATAGCAGAACATCCAGCGAACAAACACTGCCACCCAGTATCGTTGTTGCCAGTAATATACAGGAGTCTGACCACACGACTTCAGCACAGAAGACTGATAGAGATCATTACATCGGTAAAAATCCCGTGGAAAATACAAAGGAAGCACAAGAAAGTGGAGAGCAGATTTTCTTTGATTTGGATAGTACGGAAAGGTGAGTCATTTTAGAGTGCAACCACTGAGGTCACAGAATGGATTAAGCATCAAAATTATAATGAGAGCATAAAATTGGTGAGCTAGATCTTAAAGTTCAATTTTTTAAACTCACTTTTGTCCTAGTGATTTCTAGAATTCTCAAAAAATTAGAGATTTAGGAAACCTCAATAATATATTTCGTTCCTTCGGTAAACACAGTTTAGAACGTCAGAATCGTAAAATGATATAATGCGCAAATTGATTGATAATTTTTGGTACATCTTTTTTTATCAGGCTCGAACGTGTAACAGCTCCATCGGTGATTATCTTGATTTGTTTAAGCACTGTTGCCATTGTTATGGCTGCTGTGCTTATCGGTTTGTGTATTGCGAAACATCGCCGTTTGCAAACTTGCCATGGCTCCATGACAACCGACAGCGCCGCACGTACTAATGCTTATGTTGCTGCTCAGCTCGATATGATTTACGGAACAGTAAGACGGAATCGGTGAGATTTTAGGATTTTTTCAACAAATCACAATGAAATTTTTTTCATGAAAAATATTGTTTTCAGCCGATTCAAGACTCAACCAACAACTAAAAATCTACATAAGTCGCAAATTTCAGAAATGCACCAATACTAAATCGATTTGACGATGGACAGCCATGGATTTATGCACCTACTTCTTACGGAACTACCAGTTATTACAAATAGAAGCTTAAGAACCAATATCCAAAAAACTAATTATTTAGATCATAAGTACTTAAATCCGGTGCTCAAGTTTCCTTTTTCTTATCAACATTCCATGTTTTTTTTTGTATCCACATTATTCTCCAACATATGTGCACATCGTTTCCTCACTTCTCAATTTAAAAACTTTTGAAAACTCGTCGAGTTCATTTAAAAATCTTTTGATCCGGAATTCTTGTTCAATTGCTTTAAACACTGCAATCATGATTCAGTTCTAAAAAACAATGGCCTAAATTATTTATGCATTATTAATCCTAATTTGTTATTGCAATTCAAAACATGAAAAGAGATCTAACTGATGGAATAAATATGTCCAGTTTTGTTCTCAGTTTTGCAGATCCTCATTCAGATTATAAAAAATTTTATTCTTAATATTGTAATTTCTCATCCAAATTATAAAAAGTACAAAAGACACTGACGTTTAATGCTTGAACGCAACAATCCTACGGATTTTTTTTACCTTATCTAAGGATTAAAGAAAAAAGATGTAAGGATTAAAGTAAAGAAAAGGTTAAAGAAAAAAAAGAAATTAAAGGAGGGATTAAAGAAAAAAGAAAAAAGAGGTGAACAAGAGAAAAGGAATTGATAATGAGATAAAAGAAACTAGATAACAAAACTTGAAAAAAATTGTTCTACCTTACATGGCAGCTGCAACGAGAAAAATTCATCCCTGGTTGACCGCCCCCTCTGTTTCAATCTTTTGTTCTGCAGCTCCAAATGCGGAAAAGTATTCGAATTAATGACCAGAAATATTGAGTATAGGTTTACAGTAAAGATAAATTTGCTAGTCAGAAAACTGTTCATGAAACTAATGCATGTTAACAAAAAGTGCGAAATAAACGGGAATATGATGCACGCAGACATCGAGTCACTCCTATAAGCGTGTGATAGTATCTTGTCAACGAAGTTCGAGCACTTTTCTCGATGTAGAACAGATCAGGAAATGAAAGTCAATATCAAATTTTATTTTTTGTTTTGAGCAAATGCATTACAAGTGACTTGCAAATCATAGCTTTTGAGGATATACTGTAGTAATTTACACTTAAGAATAATGTTAGAGCGGCAAGATACGTAATTCAAATATCTAAAATATGTAAGTTCATTCTTAAAATTAAAAGACGCAGGAAACCCATTTAAAAATTACTTTAATTAATTCGCACTGAATTTCATCTAGCTTCATTCTACTTTCGACATTTACACAATTTTAAAAACTGGACTCTCAACCAGACCAATAAAAATTTAATCCGACAGGATCCGATCACATATATGATGAATCAGTCAGACATATAATGATACGACAAAAAACTATTAGTCTCTGTATCTTGTCAAAGTATCTATGGTCATCTATTCCGAGCGAATATGTTTCTTTTCTCATAATGCTGTACCATCAAATCGATAGTGAATCTGTGAGTTTATTGTTAAGTAAGTTTTCAAGTCCGATAAATCGACAAATCGTTTTCTGAGATGATAGTAAATTCAGTGTTAACAAAAATAACACAGGACGCATTTAAGGAATGTGAGCCAACGTGAGTCCTGTGAGACTCTTAGAAAAGTTCACTCATTGTATTACAATACAACGAAAATTGTGTCACTCATCACTGATTAACAAGATGCACATACAATTTAAGAGTTTGTTTTCCAGTAGCACTACTACGCACTGCCTTACATACAAAAGTACTATTGTATAAAATTTTGTTTCACAAAATAGCACGAACAGATGGATTCGTAGCGAGAACAAGCACCAGCCATAGGTGTTGGCCTTGACCTGACAACATTAAGACGACGGCTGATGATGCTGAATTGTTTGGATGCATTGCACAAAACGTATAGAAATATGTGAAGCGAAAAGGGCGGCGACCTTCCTGGTACCTGTTACCTCTTCTGCAAACTCCCGCCCCATATCGTCCCCTCAAATCACCCGGCATCCTCAGTCACCTCGCCACTTGCTGTCAGATGTAAGTCGTTCTCATCTCAAGCAGAATCTACCCATATACTTATATATATCATTCTTTTTTTCAGAAAAAACGTGAATGAAAACCCATTTTCCATTGACAAGTGAAATACTGTCTTGCTAATTCACATACTGTATTGAACTCTAAACTTCCACAGCAGCTCCTCCATAAGGATTTCTCAAATCCTATAGGATAATCATCATCTAACAAGTATTTGACCGCTAAAATAACTTATTTTAAAAATCTGATTTCAACACTGAAAACGATGAAGTACCGAGTGTTTCTATTTTTCTGTGTATTTGTCAATTATGCATTATCATTTTGTCCAACATTCCTGAAGAATCAAACAACTTGTTCATGTTTTGCATATATTGATGGTGTCGTGATCCGATGTAGTGGCCAAAATGGACCAGCTGTAGTGGAACAGCTCAAAAAGACACCAATTGAAATACGCGAACTAGCACTTGAAAGTGCTAATATTGTCGAGGTCAGATTTTGAAAAATTACTTATTTCGGTATGAAAGAAAATGAAATCCTAAGGTTATAAATTTGGTAGAATACTTGAAGTAACTTAAAGATTTTGCAAACTGTCTTAACCCCAAATTCCACATTAAATTTTTTAACTAAAGTCAAAATTATGCAACACAGATCGGACGAAATGCGTTCAGAAACTTGCGGATCAAGAAGCTGATTCTCGACAATAATCGTATCCGTGCACTGCATCCACAAGCATTCCGCGGTCTAGAATCTGTCATGCTTGAGCTTTCAATTTCCAAAAATAAACTCCCTGCTATTCCAACTGATTCACTAATCGGAATGCGTGCTCTACGCGTACTCAGCCTACGCTGTAACAATATTGGGGATATTAAGGGGCCTGTTTTCCAGAATATGTCCAGCATGATCGACTTAAACCTTGAATGTAATCAGGTAAAATTTATGGCTTTTCATTTTTTTAAATAAACCTTGCAAATCTGATAATATTTAAAGCAAAATCTCAACATCCACCACTTCTAAATTAGACAAATAAACTAATAAATAAGAAGTACAGTCCTTTGAGAAAAATTCACTTAGATTTGCAATATCGAAGGACAAGTGTTCAATGATGTAAAGGACACTTTGCAAAACCTAATCCTAGATAACAACTGCTTATCAGCAGTACCTTCTGAAGCTCTTCGAGGTCTGGATAATCTTATTGGTCTACACATGAAATATAATGAGGTAAGCAACTAAAAGATAATTAAAAAATCGAAAAATTAAAATTTTATTAGTAGTTTTATATATTACTAGAAAAGTAAAAAATTCGATTCAATCCATACCTTAGACAACAAACTGTCCCATAATATGGTATTTCAACCGCTATATGAATATATGAATAACTCGATATAAAGCTTACTTCGATCCTTTTAAAAAAAGTTTAAAAATTGGTCGAAAAACTCAAAATGTGACTGCAGATCGTAGATAAAGTAATGCAAGATGAAACAATGAAGACAAGCAGATCATTGCAAAATGTACCTTTCGTAATTAAAATTTTAAATCCAGATTAAAAGATTGGAGAACATGCAGTTAACCAATCTAAGCAGTCTAACAATCCTTTCACTCACCGGAAATAAAATTTCTACGATTGAAAGTGATTTCATGCCACAGGCCGAGAATCTTCGCTATCTTTATCTGAGTAATAATAATTTAGAAATCATCGAGGCGGGAGCGTTACATCAATTCAAACAAGTCCAAGTAAAAATTTTATTGATTTTTGCGAGATTGAAAAAAAATTATTTCAGTTTTAAAACTGCTGGAAAAAATCTGATATTTATTAAGTACAATTATTCTTTGTTACGTAAGGAAGTTACAAAAACATTTCTGACAAAAAACAAAAACCATTGCAAATACCAAACTATTACTGATGTTCATTGATTGCTGCCTCAGGTCATCGATATGAGCTACAACTATTTCACTAAAATAACCGGCGATATGTTCTCTGGCCTGGAACATCTACAACATCTCAACCTTGAAGGCAATCAAATAAAGGTTACTACTGAAATCACACTTTCTCTGTATTGTTTAATGGAAGAAAAAATTATGCTAAGATACAGAAATCTGAAGTTAGCGAGTAAAAAAATTCCATTATTTCGGTTTCGTCATATGAAAACAGACAGAAAAAATTTTTCAGGATATAGCACCCGGAGCATTTGCAACAACACCGCTACTTCTATTATGGCTACGAAACAACTGTTTGGGATCCGTATCACCAAACCTGTTTCAAGGTACACCTTTTCTACGGCAGGTGTCCCTCGCCGACAACAACATCAGGACAATAGAGGTAATATATACAGCTATCTCTTACAGCTTATTGATAATCTCGGCTTTATAGTTACACTCCTACACTGCCGAGAATTTATTACAACAAAGCAAATATTAATTACTACATTTTTAAAACCTAAAATGGAATTAATTATGTTTCAGCCCTTAAGCTTCGCACACCTAGCTAATTTGCATACTCTGGACTTGTCGCACAACAAAATATACACCATCGAACCAAGTGCCATTATTGGTTCCGATTATCTGATGGTTAGGTTGCAAGGTTCGTTTCATCGACTTAAAGAATTGCGCTAGTAATGAATTAATAAATGGTTTAAAAAAAAAGATCACTGAACCGAAAAACCATAGTTTTTTTCGTATCAAAAATGCTGTATCTGTTCGAAAACAAGTTTTAAAGGTTAAAGATGATAGATTGAAACGATAAAGTAATATTTCATACTCAAATAATACCCAAGTTCTTACTAATTTTATCCAGAAAATCCGATGGTTTGCCTACAAGATGGCTTTCATGTAATGAATGGCAAAGAGGCAATAAACCTTACAACGGAGCCCAATTTAATCTGTCAAACAAATTACACGAATAATTTGAAAGATATATGCCCCAAAAACAATGATGTGCCACAACCGCCACTGTGCTGCTTGAAATCTATGCCAAGTACTTTTTTAAGAAATCACAATCTGGCAAACAAAGCCATCAAATAAACAGCTTGTTATATAATCTCGGTATTTATGGAAAAATGTAAAAATCTTCCTATAAAAAAATTTCTAAAACACCTAGAAATTTCTCGATTCAACTTCAGAGGCTGACAAAATTTCGACATTAAGTTTGCAAACAAAAACAATTACAACATCAACAACTGCACCAACGCATGAATCTGTAGATGTTCATCCACATAGTATTCATAGCAAAAAATTCAACAGTGAGAGGTTTATGCGCCTTTCACAACGACCTCCCGGATATCGAACATCACCTTTTCTACGATATCGTTTACCAGCACAAACGAAGCCCACAGAAACTGCTATACTTAGTAAAAGCCCCAACAGCGAGGGAACTCAAGTGAGTATTATAATAAAATCTAGAAAGGATCACTAATTATGTGAGTGCGTAAGTTATTTGAAAATAAATGTCAAGAATTTTAAAAAATTGAGCAAAAATGAATTTTAAAACAAGCATAAAGGAACAAAAACTGCAATTTTCTGAATAGAAGTTATAT